AATGGGATCTGGGGTTGTGCTGCAGCCCTTTTTACCGTATTGCCTACCCAATTCCAGGAATGCTTAAGGAAAGGCTGGTTGGTAGCTTGCCAACTGCCCTTTCTGCTCTCCAGGCTGGCTGGTGCCACCACACAGTAGTTGCTCTTGGATCCCAGCATCTGGCCGTCCTGGAGCACCTTAGCCGTGACCCATAGGCATTATTATCAGCTTAACCTGCCCTGTCCTCGCAGTGCCACATCCTTGTGTGCATCCTGAGGGGTTTCCAAAGGGACAGTGTTCATGTCAGCACTGAGTTAAGGTTATTAGGTGGGGTTTTGGTGATGGTACACATAAAACCCCATACACACAGTCTGACGGATGCCAGCATGAAATGGGTCAAGAATGAGATGCTGAAGGCTTGAGTCAAACCTTCCTCTGGCCGCATGACCTTTGGTTAGTCTCTTTGCCTCTGCCCACCTCCGCTTCCCCGTCTGTGGTGCCAGACCAGTAACCTCCTTCCCAGGGAGCTGGTGTGAGTCACGACGGTGGTGTCACCTCAGCGATGCCACTTTCAGGGACAAACACTGGCATCTGCCAGTGCATATTTGCAGTGGTGGTCTCCTAGCTCTGCTTCTCCAGAGGTTTCTCCACGAGATTCATGTGTTCCAGGCATGCGTTTGAGTCATTCATCTTCCCTGCTACTACGAGACAATTTATTAGTCAAAGAGCTAATTACAGGCTTTAGCCACTTCACTGCAGCTCTGCCACTCCATGCCGGGCAGCGCTTGTTAAAATCCGTCACAACATATTCTGCTGCATTAAGCAGCGTGCTGAAGATTACAGGCAGTTCACACATTTTACCATCTGTTGCACACAAGCGACTTCCCGGTGACACTCTTGTATTTGTTCCTTTGGCTCCCTCCCTCCCCCTGATTTCCATTACTGGTTAGTGGCCTGTGAGATCCAGGTTTGAGATTTCACAGAAATGTATGGATTGAGAAATTAAGAAGGCATTACACTTTGTAAGAAAGATACTTTCTTTTGGAATGGGGAAAGCCTGAGGCTGAAGAGGTATTATGTGGACCTGGGCAGAGGCTACATAGCTGTCCATAAAGTCTTAGTAGGGAAGAGAGCAGCTGCCCTTTAGAATCATGAATTCTCTGGAACACGTAGGCATCAGCATGAATTATCTCAGGATCACTTTAAGCGTAGCTGAGCTGAGTGGGAGACTGACTGCCTCAGCAGTCCTGGAGGATCCCTCTCAGCGTCCAAGTCTGTGGTATCCAATAAACGAGCCTGGTGTGTGCTCCAAGAAGCTGCGAGTGCCTAGGACCAGAGAAGTGGTTTTGATAAATCCCCAGATGGATTTTCTTATGGGGTGCCTGAGGGCTGCAACAGCACCGTGTTGATTTTAATGCTTGTTTTGATACCAGAACGCTCAAGGCTACTCCGGAGCTGCACAGGGTGGCAAGGCTGAGCCTGGGGCTAAAGGCCAAGGCACTCCACCATCTCACTGCTGTGTGGTGTCTGTAGGAGGCCTGGCACATGGTTGGTGGTGGCTCAGGTGGGACCTCTCTCTTATCCAGGAAGAGAGAGTTATTTTGGGATAAACTCAACTCTTTTCTATCCAGTTTTCTGCCTGCTCTCTCCCGCTCCCTGTCCCTCTCTTTCCCTTTCCTTCCCTTTGCCTCCTTTTCTTTTGAAGCCACTTTGACTGTCTGATTTGAGTTCCTTTTTTTTTTTTCATGAGGAATATTATTTCATTGTTGCTCTGAATTTGCCAGACACTGCGAGAAAGAGATGTGGAAGGGAGAGGCAGACAAAAGAAACATTCACACAGATACAAAAAGGGAAGAGAGAAGCCCCGGCTCTGTTTGAGCAGGTGGCAGAGGACACAGACAATAGGGAAGGAGTGCTGTAGATATGTCTCCATCATGATTATTTCCTTCCCTGCCAGATTTCATTGTTGCTCTGAATTTGCCAGACACTGCGAGAAAGAGATGTGGAAGGGAGAGGCAGACAAAAGAAACATTCACACAGATACAAAAAGGGAAGAGAGAAGCCCCGGCTCTGTTTGAGCAGGTGGCAGAGGACACAGACAATAGGGAAGGAGTGCTGTAGATATGTCTCCATCATGATTATTTCCTTCCCTGCCAGAATTAGCATTCAGTCTGGAGCCCCTGCGATACAATGAGCCTCTGCTCCGAGGGTCACCTGGCTTTAGAAACAGCCGTATGGGCTTGTTTGCAAATGGAATCGCCCCCCTTCGACAGAGCTTTTTACTCAGCAGAGTTGCTGGATGAGACGCTGAATGTAGCACCTGCATTGCAGGCTTGGAGAAGGTCCAAAGGAGGGTGGGAGGATGTGTTTTGATGGTGTGTCCCTGAAGGGATGCTATCCTGCCAGCAGATCTTTCTGTTGGTGAGGCATGCTAGACTAAGCAGTCAGTCTCGGCTTGTTTTCCTTCGTAAGCCTCAAGATCTACCCCTCCCATCGTACACTAGGCACTGACAAGCTCAAACTCAGCTCTTGCAGAACAACTTCTGCAAAATGCAGGAGTTTTCCTGCTTTCACTCAGGGTAGGATCAGGAAAAAGCCTTAACTCTTGCTCTCCACTGCATGGTCCCTCTGGATTTATACCAGGGTAGCTGAGATCAGAACCATCTTAAGCAGGTGCTTTTCTAAGTGGCTCCAACTTCAGTTAAGAGGGGTTATAAGGACACCCAGGTGGCACCAGCCTATCTTATGGTCTGTCAGTAATGTCCTACCCAGCACTGATGGTGCCTAGGTGCTCGGTCCAGTCAATAGCCAGCTCTGTCTCTCCCTCTGTCTTTCCTGGAGATATTTCATTTGTTAACAGCAATAAGTCACTGCAGGCAGCATGCTTCGGGACAATTATTGCTCTTGTCAAGTGGTTTGAGACTCTCAGCTCTGGGCTTTGTCCTCTATCACACCACCCAAGGCACGCAATTATCACTCAGAGAGACCCTGCCTGCCATTCCTTATTGCACTTATGATAGCTCTGCCGACAGTCTGGACACAGAGTGATGGGAGGAAATGAAAAGGAGGAGAGCTAAGGAGGCATATAAATAAGTAAGTAAAAACATCAGCAGGAAAAACTATTAGGGCAGAGACCAGTTTCCCCAGTGGGAAGCAGTGGGGTCCCCAACACTTGCAATCAAGCACAGCATTAGCAGACTTTGGCCTGAGGAACAGGGAGACGGGTGAGAGATGACCCACTTGACCATGCCATGGTCATTGCCATTGCCTGATTGAATAACTAAACCCACGTTCTTGCTTGATGTCAGCCTGCTCACTGCCTGGCCTGAGCACACACAGGCAGCACACACTGATATCTAGCAGCGAAATCCCTGCTGAAGTCTTTCACAGGTCCATGTGTCTTGAGACTCGAGACGGTACAGCTGAAGATGCTGTGTGACTTAGGGATAGGAAAAGCAAATAAGTTATATTTATCACATCTTTGCACTCGAGCAAAAGATCTCAGAGGCATTTGACTCTGCGGTGTGGCTCAGACAGTGGAGGGAGTGATAGAAAAAACCCAGAGCTGGGAAAAAATGAGGAGCTATTCACAGAAATCATGGAAAAGCATACTTATGGGTGACCAAAGGAAGATGAGCATAAGGCTGTGAGCTGTAAATACACTTCCCTATTATTATGATTCATTATAATTATTATTTATCTACATTCAAATATCACAGAGAAACCCCAGTCGTGATGTAAGCTCTATTGTCCTGGGTAATACCAGGACATTTACTTGTTTAATGAAAATTAAATCCCAGCTCTGGGAAGAGAAGAGTCCAAGGAAACAGGATGACTGTGGGCAAGAAGTTTTCTGCCTACAGTTTATGGCTGGATAATTGATGCAAGGAGGGATTAAATGATTTGCAGGAAGTTGATGACAGAGCCAGGTATAGAATCATAGAATCACAGAATGGTTTGGGTTGGAAGGGACCTTAAAGATCATCTAGTTCTAATCCCCCTGCCATGGGCAGGGACACCTTGCACTAGACCAGGTTGCTCCAAGCCTCATCCAGCCTGGCCTTGGATGCTTCCAAGGATGGGGCATCCACAGCTTCACTGGGCAACCTGTTCCAGTGCCTCCCCACCCTCTCCGGGAAGAACTTCTTCCTGATACCCGATATAAACCTCCCCACTTTCAATTTAAACCTGTTACTCCTTGGAATATAGGAATCAATCCCCGGTCCCAAGGTGTAATCACAAGAGTGTGGTTTTGTGCTGTCAAGGAAAATAAACTAACACTAAAATACTACTAAAATGGTTTGTCTGCAGATGTTTCCCTTCTATTGAATATGCTTGAAGTACAAGGGGGAAATAGCATTTAACTGTTCTTGGTTTATTGTCTGAAGTGTGTCCAAGCCAGACTACCGAAGGGCTTTCCCTGGTGATACAGCATCCCAACAGGATGCAGCAAGAGGTCAGGCATGGCTATGGAATTGCACAAACTGCATGGCTCAGGGGTCTGTGAAGCTGAGTTCCTCTAATGCAGCGTGCCCGTAGCAACAGGATGCCCCAAAGAGCCAGGAATTTGCAGATTTCTGAAATGAAGGCAGCTGATGTTTGCATAGCCGTTGTAGAACTGATAGCTGTGATTTTGCAGCCATCCTCTCAGACCAAGGATACCAAACTTCCAGGAGACCAACAGCCGTTCTGCTTACAGTAGCCTGTGTACAATATGTCAAACTACTAACAGTATGGCAAAATGGCCAGGTGATGTGATGGGCTCAGCCAGTGTTGCAGGAATACCTGATACTAGCAAAGAGTTTGAGAAACAAAGAGCTGGTACATGGAGAGTTCAAAACACACTGTGCTGTTCCTGTGAATTACAACAGCTCCTTCTAGCAGCTTTTTGGATTTCCTGATGAGAGCCAGTCTGCCTTTTTGGAAGGTCAGCTTCTCTTTCTCAGTTTGTGCCTCTAAATTGCCTGTCATTTTCTGCTTTGATTTGATTTGCATGGTGGGAATCCAGATTTTGCAGACTTAGGGGTCAGATTTACGTCTTTTCAGCAGTTTTGCCTGTGCTGGAGAAAGTTGTGCAAGGCAGTGTGTATATACAGGTCCTAATGGTGTGAGTGCTCTTAGCAGGAGTATCCGAGAAGCTCTGTCGTTAGTCCTGGAGATCAATACCATGTCCTTTTTTTCTTCTTTGAAACATATTTCCATCTTATTGTTACAGCTGAATGAATCCTTTGCGAAGACTCCTGTTGAGTTCAGTGGGCTTTGAACAGGGGTCACAAGGAGTTAGCAGCTCCTGTGCTCCGGAGAGGACGAAGCATTTACTTGCTGTTACTTTGCAAATTGCTCTGTTTCACTGCAGTACAGCCCACGAGGTGCCTGAGCAGGCCAGGCACGGCAGCGTGAGCATCCTCGTTCCAGCCCCCAGCTGCCTTCATCCTTGGAGCTCTTCCATGGGGATCCCGTTGTTTATTCCCTCGCATCCGTTTCCAGTTCTGGATCAAGTCTGCTGAGTTAACAAGTCTAATATGTGTTTGCCCCTGGTGCTGCAGACAGATAAGATCTAAAATCCCAGCTGGGCTCCTGCTGCTGGCGCTCGGATCCTCAGTGGGATGAAAGGCTCTGGGGGCCTCCAGCTGCCTGTCCCTTGGCAGCCCTGTCTGGGCTCTGCTAACAGCTAAATCCCAACACACACACACGAGGCTCTGCTGTGGCAGAAAGTAACGTTTTCTCAGGCACCTACAGACTCAACTCCTGACTTAGGGGTGACCAGTGGTTCTCTATATATGCTCTTTTCCATTTCCAATTAGCATTTGCGAAGTGCTGCGCAAAGCAGACATTTGCAAAGGTCCTGAGTGGCAGAAGATTAATTATTCTCTACTTTTCAGGCGCTCTCCTTCCCACTCCTGTCTCCTCATCCTTGCTCCTAGCTCCAAAAAGCTGTGAAAAACCAGTGTTGTGAGTCCAGGCGGCTCTGCATCATCTTGCATCTTGCTGGCACTGACACTGAGAAGTGTCATAAAAATGCGAACGTTGAATGAGCCTGGTGGGCACAGCCCTATTGCAAAGGACTCTGCTAACCTGCTCTTTACTTCCATGGTAACCAGAAAGCTTATACCCATAAATACCCTACGACCAGATCATAATCACAGGGTCTCGCAGATTAGTGGCTAATTGTGTTTAGTTTGTCCAAAGAGGAATTACCGTGCAACTCGCACTCACGCTGCCATAATGGACAGAAATCCCCATATGCAATTTACTCCGCAATTATATGGCAATTAACAGCTACAGAAAAACCTACCTCTAAAGGCTCAGAGCTTTGGCATCTCTGTGGAAAACCACACGGAGACTTTAAGTGACGGGGAACTCTTTGGTGGTCTCTAAGACATACCCAACCAAACCAGTCAGCTTACTGGATTGTGTTTGATCTTCAGAGGGTAAAACATCTTTTTCTTTAAAAGTGGAAGTTTGTCTGGTTATAGATCCTGGTGCAGTGGGACATTCTGGACCTCAGGAGGATAAATCCTTATGTGCACTGTGGTCAGTAATAGTAGCAGGAATTAAATGTCTCTCCCCTTCTTGCCTTGTTCCCAGTCTGTCCTTTAAGCAACCAAGCCCTCGCCCGTAATGGGGCTTTTTGCCTTTGGGTGAAGTGTTGGAGGGAAGCTGTTGATGGAGGCGGGCAGGGGGATCTGGTGGGCGACTGGGTGAACCCTGTGTGAACTGGCTTATGACTGATGGAAATCTAGCTGAAGCGCCATGTGTCGGAGAGCTCTCTGAGTGGAGCGGGCCTCCGGAGAGCACCTTCCATTTCCTTCATTGAGGCCAGATCTCTGCCCATAGACTGTGCCTGGCGAGTGTTTGTTTAAGTCTGTCCATTTCTCCCTGAAGATTTCTATGGCTTTCTTAATACGTATTTGCTGGAAACTGGATACCCCCTATTCCAGCTGAAGCCTTTCTGGTTCTGAGTAGGAAAAGTAATTGCCTCCTGAGGCTCACATTTGTAATAAACTCTATCTAGTACATCCCTAAATGGGATTTGCTTGTATTTTTGGCAGCAGTATGGCGTTGTTGATTCACAGTCTGTTTGTGATCTTCAGTAGTCCCCAGACCCTTTCCTGCCGCGCTGGCCAGTCACTCCCATTCCATATTTGTGTACACTGATTTCTCCTACTGAAGAATACTCGGTGCTTGCCGGTATTGAATTTCACTTTGTTGATTTTGGCCCAGTTCTACGATTTGTCAAGTTTGTTTGGAATTCTTAACCCTGCTTTTAGATGTACTTGCGCCCTCTCCCAGAGCAGTGTCATTCATGAAATCTGTAGTCTGTCATCCAAGTCAGTAGTGAAAATACTGAATGATGCCAGACCCAGGACAATACTCTGAAATGCCCTCCCAGTCTGACATTGAATTATTTGACTTTTTTTTTTTTTAATTTTAGTAGCTTTTGGATATACCTTATGGTGGCTTCTTTCAGATCATATTTCCCTAGTTTGTTTATGGGAATCTCCTGTAGGACAGTAGCAAATACTCTACTGAAATCAAGATAAATCACATCTGCTGCCTCCCCTTTATCCACAAAGCCATTAAGCCTGTCAAAAAGGAAATTAGATTGGGTTGACACAATTTGTTCTTGACAAATCTATGCTGGCTGATTTTTATCACCTTATCATCTTGCAGGTGCTTATAAATTGATTGTTTAATAATTTGATGTACTTTCTTTCTGGGAAGCCAAGTTAGGTTGACAGGTCTATAATTACACAGACCTCCATTTTCCACTTTTTGAAGGTATTTCCATGATACGCCTGCTCCCTGGGCTCTGAGACCTCACTCAGCCTCCAAGAGTTCTTCAAAACATCACTAGTGTAGATAACCCTCTGTATGAGCTCGGCATCTATGGGGTACGCAGCAGGGGTGTATTTGGGTGGCAGACCCACAGTGCATAACATACACCTTAGGGGTGCACCCGAGGGTTGGTAAAACAACTCTTCAGAGCTGCGCTCAACACCTATAAGGTAGATTTCCAAGGTAAGACCCATCCCATGCAAACACACTTAAATCATGGAACATTCACCTAAGGGCTATGATGTAGGCTGTTGAGAGGGTCACATCTTGCTCTGTTGAGACCCACAACTTTAAGAGCATCAGTGGCTCTGGGGAGATACGAGACTGCTCCATTTCTCTTGTTCACAACTGCTGGCACCAACTCTTGCCCCTGTCTCATCCTCTCCCATCCCATCCCCACCTCTGGGCACCATGTAAATCTGGGTTTGTTTGGGTTGTTTTTTTTTCTTTTGCTCTCCCACTTCTAGTATTCGTATGAAGGAATGGAGATTAACAGCCTGCCGGTGGAGCTGACGGTCGTGTGGAACGGGAATTTCAACATTGACAACCCAGCACAGAACAAAGGTAAAGAGTTATTTCAACTTGTCCTTGGAAGCGGTAACCTTAGCAACGGGCCACAGCGCTCCCTACACTTAACAAAGCCGCCACCATCTCCCCGTGCTGTCTGGTGCATACTTGTTCTCTGCACTCTGCAAATTACCAATTTTTTTGTGTGCTTTGTGTTCCCCCCCCCTCCCCGCTTCTCCCTTTGCACCTGAGAAATACAGCTTTCCCTCCCACTTGTGTTGCTTTCCCTCTCCCTTCATCATCTTTACCTCCTGCTTCTCCCCACATTTTCGTTCTATGCCCCTCCTTCTCCAGGTTTCTCTCCCTCTTTATTTCTCCTGCAGTGATGCTCTTCAAGTTAACATGCCAGGAGAGCGGGGGCTCTCTGCTCAGAGGCAATGTAGTAATGAACAGGGGAAGGGAGAGGGGCAGGAGAAAGGCTGCAGCTCGCCGTGGGAAAAGTCTGAACAAAATAAAATGATAATGGCAAAGGACAGAAAACCACCAGCTGCCCAGAGCCTGGCTCTGTTCAGCTACCGCCGATGGCACAGGATTGATATGCCCCTCACAGAGGGATATTGTACATCCAGCCACAACCCTGGGGCAGGCAGATGGACGTCTGTTCACATCTTGTTCGTTATCCTCAGCCGCCCCAAAGCCTTTCCCTCAGACAGCCTCTCCTCTCGGCTGCTCTGCAGATGCTCTCCTTCTCATGTCACCACCTCTCAGTTTCTCCCTCACGTGCTTTACCTTCTCTTGTCTTGGACACATTTCACATCTTCTCCTACTCCATCTCTTCCCATGTCCCATGCTCCTCTCACACCATTTCACACCTGCCCTCATACTGAGAAGTGGTGTATGAGGTTTCCAGATGAAGAGCAATACAGAAAGCAACTCTTCTCCCCACTGCATGACCTCTTCCTGCCCTTCTCCCCCTGCACACACCTCTGTGATGTCTTTTTCTGCTGTCTCAAGCAGAATCATGGAATAATAGAATCATTTATGTTGAAAAAGACCTTTAAGATCATTATGTCCAACCATTAACCGAACACTGCTAATACTACCACTAAACCATGTCCCTAAGCACCTCATACACGTCTCTTAAATCCCTCAAGGGAGGGTGACTCCACCACCTCCCTGGGCAGCCCCTTCCGATGCCTGACAGCCCTTTCTGGGAAGAAATTTTTAAAATATGTGGGTTTGAATAGCCAGGCTGAATGCAAAGGGTTCTGCAACTTTCCTACCCCAAACTGTGGCCCTTGGATGTTAAATCACCCAATCACAATGCCAACCTCTCTCCTGCTCTCCAAGCTGGGCCAAGGCACTGCTAATTTTCATGGGCCCAAACAGTGCCATGGACCGTTCTAACCTTTAACAGTGTGTGTTGGAGGTCAGGATTTGGCCATCTGCCCTGGTCCTGCTTTGTTTTCTGCTACCATTATAGCCTGAGCGTTCCTGATGCAACACGGTCCACACCGTGAGTGTGAACCCTTTTTTTGGGCAGTACTGAGCTGTCCTAGGTGATGTAGGAGTAAAATCAATCTCATAATCATGATGATTGTGTCTTTGGGCATGCCTCTGTTGGTAACATAAGCTAAACCGGGATTGAACTCAGAGAACATCTGCTTAGTCTTTAGCGCAGTCTCTTACAAGTTCTTGGGTTATTCAAACCCAAAAGGTTATAAGTAATGACTAGGAAAAATGTGGGAAGTGACACTGGCTGGTGGCTATCCCAAATAAATAGTTTGGATGATACCATCATATTTTGGGTCAGGAGGAAAGCTTAGGCATGTGCACATGGATGTACCATATGGAGACATGCCCCATGCTCTTGAGGTCAGAGAGAGCTTCATTTAATAGCATAAATGTAGTAGCTCAAGGAAACACAAAACACTGGCAGGGCTTTAGACAGTGCTGCCAACAAGTCGACCTTCTTTTCTGGAAAACTGAGAGGGGGAGACAGAGGCAGGACTAGACCCAGTGCCTTTCCAGGTGCAGTTGCACTGGGGTACAGTGCCTGCAAGCAACCGAGATGCCACTACTTTCATAGCCAGCATCACATGGGCTGGACCGGTAGGCTGAAAGGCTAAATTAAAGCAAGCCTACTGGAGGGCTTGCAGGGATACTCAGTGAAAGCATTGCAAGCAGAGCAACTCAGTAAATGGGAGGAAACCTAACAGAAAATCGAGGAAAGAGCTGTATCCTAGGAGACCTCTAGCACACTCTGTTTGACAGCAGCTTTGCTAACTTTTCTTGCACCCAGCCTGGAGAAATAAAATGTTTCTGAGCATTTCCTTGCATTGGTCAACACTTGCTGACTTCTGGGGTGCGGGTATGAAAATACAGCCAGAGCTTTTCATAACATATATCCGAAGCCTTTGAGCTTTGGGATCGTGTATCGTGTATAATAACCACAGACAAGACATTAGTCACCTACAGACACATCAAAACAGAAGCACAAAGGGAAAATCCCCCATATTATAAAGAATTCCACCAGCATGCCCACAAATACAGGAAAAAAGCAAACCTGAAAGCCTATATTCTGCTGTCCTCAGGGAAGAGACTTTTGCTGTCAGCCCCCTGTGCAACCCAGACCTCACTTTACACATCTTTAAAATAAGGATAGATAACATGATTTTATTTCATAGGACTGCAGCATTTTTAGGTTTTATTTGGAAAAAGCTTTGACTGTTTCTAAGCACTTAGCATCCCAAGATGGAGCTAAGCATTAATCATTGCTGTCTGTATTAAAGGAGGATCAACTTGGTACTTCAAAATGTAATGCGGACTGAATTTCTGGAGCAGAATAAGGAGGAAAGGCTGATCGAGAATCCCTGGATTCAGCCTCATAGTGAACCATTGTGGATTTACTATTATCGCTTAGGATTTCTGTAAAGGGGGAAGCCTGAGTGACATCAGCTTAGCCCCCAGTCTTGAGTAGTTTCACACGAGACAAACCCTCAAGTTTAAGCTCTGGGTAGATCAGGTCTAGACCATCATTTTAGGGTCAAGAGCTGAGGCTGAGACTGGATGTAGGTGGCACTGTATGACATTCAGTCTCTGAAGAAGGAAGGGACTGAGGCCAAACACATTTTGCCCCAACCTCCTGCTTGTAGCCCCTCACCCTACTGAGGGCAGCATCCTTCCTTCTGCTTTCAACTTCTTAAAACATCTATGGAGATATCTATGATCTTTCATAGAATCATGGAATGGGTTGGGTTGGAAGGGCCCTTAAAGACCATCCAGTTCCAACCCCCCTGCCATGGGCAGGGACACCTTCCACTAGACCAGGTTGCTCCAAGCCTCATCCATCCTGGCCTTGGACACTCCCAGGGATGGGGCATCCACAGCTTCTCTGGGCAACCTGTCCCACTGCCTCCCCTCCCTCTCCGGGAAGAATTTTCTTCCTGATATCTAATGTAAGTCTCCCTTCTTTCAATTTAAACCCATTATCCCTTGTCTTGTCACCACCTACCCTTGTAAAAAGTCCCCCCCCGCTTTCTTGTTGGCCCCTTCTGGTACTGAAAGGTGCTATAATATGAGATATATATATATATCTCATGTAAGATGAACTCTGACAAGTGCATTTTGTTTGAAGAAGGATGTAAACATTTTTTTCACCATTATTTACCCCCTGGAGGGGTCCCATCCTGTCTCTAAGATGAGGAGTCCGGAACACCTTCCCCTCTCTCGCTCCTCATTCTGCCCTGTGACATCCCACTGCTCTCCCGTGCTGTCTGCATCTCTTACATCCTCTCTGTTTTCCTGTCCCTGCAGTTCACCTGTACAAGTGCGGGGCCATGCGGGACAGCTGCGGACTGTGCCTGAAAGCCGACCCGGACTTCGAGTGTGGCTGGTGCGAGGGGCAGAACCAGTGCACGCTGAAGCAGCACTGCCCAGCCCAGGACAGCCAGTGGCTGGAGTTGTCCAGCACCAAGGGAAAATGCACCAACCCCAAGATCACGGATGTAAGTCATGGGTCTGCAAGAAGCTGGGGTATTCCCTCTCGTACCCTTTCCTTGCTTTATTTTCTTGATTTATCTTTGGGTTGGTGATGGGAAGGTCAGAGCTGAGCTCTGCTGGGTCAGGCAAAGCCCCAGGAACCCCTGGGGATGGGAGGCCAAGGTGGCCATCAAAGGCAGACACACAACTTGAGGTGTCCACAATACAGGGGTGAGCAGGGTGTCAGGGTTCCCACCATAATCAATGTGGACATGGATCAGTTGGACAAACACAGTCTGTTAGTGCGATCTGAGGAACCCAGGAGCATCTGACCTGCCAGCACAGGGCTGGCAGATGTGGCATGAAGCCTTTAGGAGCAGCTGAAGGTGAGAAAAGATGCTCTAGGTCATTTCAAATGGACAGTGTGAGGGTAATAAATGAGCCCCACTGTCTCCTGAGACCAGCCTGGTTGAGATGTTGAGCATTCCCAAGTGTTTGGAGCTTTGCTGACAGGAGGTGAAGGGAGAAGGCAGGTTGTAGTTCATGCTTCCCTGCAGCATGACACAGACAGAGTCAGTGTCCAGAAAAAAGCCAAGATTCCACAGCAAAGTGACAATCTTCTGTTTGGCTGACTTTGGAAGGTGAAAGAAGTCCCCATAGAGCAAATAAAGCCTGTACAGTTGTCAGGTTTCCCCCTCTAAAGGCTCAAGGAGGAGGCAGGATCAAGCCTGGACTAAATGAAGCTTGGAACTGTCCCAGTAAGTGATAAAGAGTGGATGAGGACAAGGTTGGGGGCAAGGACCTGCAACATAAAGATGTTCTTTAAGAGTTTTCCTACTGAATGTGTTGACTGGGCCAAAGGAATAGCTGGGCCAAAGGTGTAAAAGGAGCATAGAGAATAGAAAAAACATAGAGGGAGGGAGCAGAGGAAGGGAAAGAAGGCAATGAAGGGAAACCAGGCCTCCAGTCTGAAGTGATTTTTGTCTGCTGTCTTAGGACGCTTTTGCCATAATGATGGTCACCATTTTCAGGGTCACAGGCTGGGCAGCGGGACAGACCAGAGCCCTAAAAATGAGGGCTCCATCCTTACCAACTGCCTCCTGCCTTAAGAAATTGTCAGTCACCATGTCTTTGTTAGGAGGACCCTTTCAGGGTGAGGACCCTTTCAGGGCAGCTAGGGCCTCATTTTGCAAATTAGAAGAGTAAGGGATAAAATGAGACAGAGAAGATAAAGGGAAATGCAAAGTAGAAAAATCCAGCCTCCACAGTTGTGGTTTAGTAAGAATAATTATGTGTGTTATTTTCCTAGAAAGCAAGAAAGATTTTTCAATTGTATTTGGTTAAGAATCAAAAAGTGTGGGCGTTATGGACAAGCTCTAAACCAACATCCATGGCTGAACTTTTGTGGAAGGCAAGGCTGAGTAGAATATATTTTTCCCACTTGCCACTGAAAAGAATCGCTCTTATTGTGTTTTAATCCATCTTTCTGTCATTCATCAGTCCTCAAATTCCTCACTCGGTTGGACTGCTGGAGTGCCAGGCTCATTCTGATGTTTCCAAGGCATAGGTCTCCACCGTACTTGGATTTATCTGGGGCTGGTAATTTTGAGCCCACCTGAAGCTGTGAAACCAAACCCAGACATCCAGAATGAGCAGTTTCATCTGAAAGTTCAGCTCTCAGGAATTGAAAATTACTAGGAGCTGGGGGAAAACATTTTCGAATCTTTTCAGATTCTCAAACCTTGGGAAAGATTCAGAAATTTTGCACAGATTCATAGAATTTGGCACTGGGAAGCTGACGGATGACCAGCTGAAGCAGAAGTCTAAAGCACAAGGACCTGGCCATGCAGTAGTATGATGTTCTGAAGGTCCATACACATTTCTGTGCCTTGCTTTGACCCCAACCCTGCATCTGCAGTCTCTTTATGAAGCACAAAGCACTCACGCTCCACCCTACAGCTCCAGAAGGGACGTACTTCTAATTCTGCTGGCATTTCCTCCAACAGCTCCCAAAGCTCAAACAGATCATTGCAATATTCACTCATGAAATATTCCAGCTGACTGGTGCAATCGTAAGTAGCTCTTGGAAGGTCTTTTTCTGAGCCATTATCATGGAAGTAATCTCAAGTGAGTGGCTGTATATTGCAGCTAATGGTCGGTCTGGAGCGGTTGGTAGGAGTATGCGTGTTCTGGCGAGGAGCCAGAGAAGGATCTGTGCAGGCAAAGGAGGAGAAACAACGCATGTACTCACATTTGCACAAGCACACGCACCCAGCACAGAGCTTCCCATAACCTCAACGTACTTACTACCATTTACATTGCCACTCGGTGAACTTAAAGGGCTTGCAGACTCACTGAGCCACAGAACCTCCTGTACAAGCTGCAGCATTAGGCTGATAGGAGCGGAGGGCGTAAATTGTGATGAGGTGTCTTGGGTCTTCAGGAGAAAGCAGAGGCTTCTTGGCAGCTTTGGTTTCCCTGCCTGCATTTTCCTCTCCAAAACTGATAGGTCTTGTTCCACATTTTTACATCTGTAATAGAAACAGGGTCCTTCTCTCTCACTGTGAGAGCAGCGTGGTAACACCTTCTTCTTGTATGCATCTGCGGGAGTGCAATGAGTTGGGGTTCAAAAATCCCCTGCATGCTCCTGGGAGAATCCCAGGCCCTCCCCTTTTAAGGAAATAAGCGGGTGTTGAAGCTGACCTTTACAAATTAAAAATCGCACAGGGAGGGGTTCAGAGGTGCTGTGCTTGCTTCACTCCAGGAAGTTTCCTGTTGATGCTTTTTGTGTCATAGCAAGAATCTTTTACAATCTCGTGCTTTAGACAGAGGTGGAAGGAAGGTGATAATGTTTCCACTGGGTTTTTTGTGACTTCAGTGGTGAAAATTTTGTCTCAAACTCACCCCTAGTTCCAAAGAAAAGGACTTTCCTAGCAAGTTGTTGTTGCTTTTCACCACTATAGTTTCTTTTATTTGTGGTAATGACATTAGTCATATGAGAAAAACAATCCTCTTTTGTCCTGGTGTGAGGTGTGTTGCCTGTACTAGCAAGCTCTTTCAAGCATAGGTGAGCTCTGATTAACCACAAACCTGGATTACTGGACACCTACCTTATTAGAACAAATAAAAACATTTAATGGCAAATTTAATACCACAAAATCGGGGAGATTTAGATTACGTATCAGGAAGAAAGTCTTCCCGCAGAGGGTGGGGAGGCACTGGGACAGGTTGCCCAGAGAAGCTGTGGATGCCCCATCCCTGGAAGTGTCCAAGGCCAGGCTGGATGAGGCTTGGAGCAACCTGGTCTAGTGGAAGGTGTCCCTGCCCATGGCAGGGGGGTTGGAACTAGATGGTCTTTAAGGTCCCTTCCAACCCAAACCATTCTGTGATAAAACAGGATGAAAATATTCCATGGGGAACTGAGTTCTCTTACAAAGTGTGTGTAATAGGTAAGGTGAGGAAATAAAATAAAATATGGGAATTTTAGTTTATCTTTCATTTTTTCATTTTGAGTCCATATTAGGTTGCATTTGGTACAGTGATATATTCTAGCTTTCCAGTATCTTTCATATACTGTTTTATCAGGAGAGGATTAACTGATGTCAGCAAAGTAAGTATTTCAAATAGAAAACTTTGCTTGAATAAATATTTATGAATGAATCACAGTAAAAATATTTTGGAATTGTCATTTTTGGAAAATAGTTCAAGTTTTCAATATTGAGTCCCACCCAGGGCAATCAGTATTAGTTTCTGCTGGAGTAGAAAATTAATTTTCCTTCTCATTTTTTAAGATACTTTCCACATTTCCTGGGAAAAAAGCACAAATGCCTCTCTCTTCCTTTCTCTTTTTATCTATTTCTTACTTGTCTATCAATCTCATCACCACAGACCATCCAAAGGTCACATCTCTAGCCAACTCAAATAATAATTTCAACTGTCAGATTTTTGAATGTTGTGATATTTTCTTTTTAGGACTTAAGTATCTTGTTGAGGTTTGGAGCAGGAATAAGCCTGCCGCGGCTCTGATTTTCTTGGCTCAAGTGGTATTTGGACCTGAGACCGGGCTGTTGCAGGGGTGTTGTGCTGCAGAAGTTGTGTCTACACAACCCTACAGGTCCAAGCACTTGTCTGTGATCATCTGCGCTATTAATTTGTAAACCTCTGTTGGTTCCCGATATTGTCAGAGCAAAGACACACTCATTCAGGAGGTGGTTGATGGCACCAAAAATTAAGTATCATGAAATATCCCCTAAAGGTGTCAGGGTCTTTCTTCTTTAATAGAAGATGGACCTTCTAAAAATTGACCTCTGGGTGGAAATTAGGCTAGCCCTGGTGCCAGATTCAGCGTTGGGAAGCAGTCAAGAGCAGCCCTGCTCCTGCCAGTCCCTCAACTTTCCCTGCCAGTCCAACTGCTATGCAAGGGTCTAGATGCCAGCCCTAGATTCCCAGTTGGCAGAGCCATCGGCCGGCGGGTACGGACCTCAGACAGGGAATTCCCCCTTTCTCACTGCGGAAAGAGCCTTGCCAACGCTGGCAGATGGCAGCCATTGGAATCCTGAATGGACAGCAGGGAATACCCTTTGAAAGCAACGTTTGAAACCCCTTTCAACCAGCCAGTTGTATGGCAAAGCATTTGGGCGCGGTGAATAATTGGAAGGGCAGAACTGAGATAATTAAGGGCCAGCCCCATGATTTCTGTGTTGTTTCAGTGTTGAGGAGACAACTCCGATGCTAATTTCCACCTGGCTCTGAACAAGGGTGATGAATGCGATGCAGAATGCTTTTCCACGCACACATCCCCTTTGCATGGGCCAGCAGTATTGCGGAGAGGTGGACAGCCCTGGGTGCCAGCCCTGCAGAGAGGGGGAGAGGTGAGCTCAGGAGTCCTGGTGGTGCTTTGGCTCTGCTGCCCAACACAGCCGCTGCTGAGCAAGATGCAGCGATCTTACCTCTGCTAGGGTCTGGTGAGGATCCAGGCTGGGATACGAACCTCATGCCACCACGACTGTTGGGATAGCTACTCATGTCAGTCTGGGGCTCAGTGTTTTCCCAGTCAAGAGTTCTCCATCCGACAAATAAGCCATCTGTGCTCCCCTGGCCCCATCTCTCCCATGAGGGCAGCTGGAGCTCATTCAGAAATAGTTGGCACACAGCAACTGCTGCTGTTATCTCAGTCACCATCTACCTCCCCATACCTAATCTGACATGCTCTTTCTATTGTTTCTTAGCTTTTTTTTTTCCAAGATGGACAGTTTCAGCAGAGTTTGTGATACACGACCCGTATCTACCTCCAGAATAGACCATCAACTCCATGTACTTTGGGCTTCGAATTAAAGTGACTACCTGAAGCCATTTTTGTCCTCATTTGTGTTCTTTTCTTGTTCTTTCTCCCATTTCTTTTCACTCTGCCCCACTCCTGTCTTTCCATGGCTCATGTCTGTGAAGTGCAGAGCTCAGCTGCACCACCAGAAACCCCTGCTTCTACCTAGAAAACACTTCTACTTATCTCTGGATGTTTTGCAAGTAGTCAGAAGAGATTAAGGAGGTCTGGGGCAGAATTTTGGATACTCTGAGGTGGGAGCACCTGTGATGTATAATGTATTTTCAAGGGGCTGGTCCTGTTGATATATCTGGTGTAGTCTTGTTCCCTCAGCTCTCAGTACTCATAATTATGAGAACCTGTCACAAACAGACCTACAATACCTCTTCTTTCACCTGAGAGGATGCTGATGTCTTTACATAGGTGGTTTCATTATTCTCCTTTTTCTTGGCTTGTTTCTGTAGATCAATCCAGTGACCGGCCCTCGTGAAGGAGGGACCAAAGTGACCATCCGTGGAGAGAACCTGGGGCTGGAGTTCAGAGATATTGCCTCTCACGTCAAAGTGGCTGGAGTGGAATGCAAACCGCTGGTGGAAGGGTACATCCCAGCAGAGCAGTAAGTTGGGTGTGTGGCAGACAGTGGGCCACAGCACACCTAAGAACAGTCATAGCTACCTGAAGGGTCTTCGAAGGAGTCCGTTCCACCCAAGCTTGGAAGTGAGGCATGGAAGATGCCATTCCTCACAGCTCAGGTGCTAATAATACAGTTATTACTGTATTTGGATTGCATATTTAGGTAATCCTCGTGGAACATACCCTAAAGTTACCTTTCATCTTTCACATAACAGCCACCATATGGGTGTTCAATTCCGGTTTGTGGGGCAGCAGTCCTGAAAAGCAGCTTATCCCATGCAGGGATCATTAAACCTTAGAGCTGCAAAGCTGTCCACCATGCAAGGCTGGAGGACAAAAGGACCTCTGGGGTCAGACCTCAGCCCAGCATTTGTCTGTATGTTGAAGTGAAGCTATGTGGCTTACACCAGCTGATCATTTGCCCCACCGAGTGCCAACAGCCAAAAGCCAACACTTTTTAAATAATAACTTAGTCCACAATTTGAATCCTGGATTGGAAAGGAGAGAATGGCTTAAGTCTAGAGTCCATTTCCTAGAAATGTGAGCTGTTTGCTCCAGTTCCATCTTACCCAGACTACCAAATCATCCCTCAAACCTTGCTTCTGGTTTGTATTTTCTCCACAGGATAGTATGTGAGATGGGGGAGGCCAAGCCCAGCCAGCATGCCGGATTCGTGGAAATCTGCGTGGCTGAATGCAAACCAGAGTTCATGGCCAGGTCTTCACAGCTCTACTACTTTATGGTAAGTTCCTGTGAGAAGTTGACCTGAAGGTTCTCAGCCTCTGGTGCCCTTTGATACATCTCTCCATTGTCCTTGACCATATTCAGACTCTGAGCTGTTCAATGCTCTCCTGAGCACACCAAGTTGTTCCTTCCACTTCCTTTCAAAATCTTGTTATGAGCAAAAATAGCTTGCCTAATTAATGTTTTAACAATCTATTAATAGGAGTTCAAATAATATTCCAAATTATTACTTCAGTTTCAGTTCCATACAGCAATGGTCCAAATTAGTACAGAAGATCTCCATTAATAGTTAAAAATTCTATAAAGGAAATTAAAAAAAGAAAAAAAATAAGAATAAGAAAAAAGACAAAAAACTTTCCTGGTATCTTACTTTTCCAGGGTGTGATGCCCACCCTACCAGCATCCCTCCAGGCCCTACAGTTGAAGGCACCAGTGTCCTACAGCAGAAACATGGGGGTTGCCACTAGTCATTACCAACCTGAGGTCTTTTCTGGCAGGAGTGTGATGTCCATGGTTGGCTTCTTCCTCCTCACTCTTGGGTCTTGAAGATACCCCAGGGGTATCTTCATGCCCTCTCTCCCATCACCTGCTCCCTTCTCCCTGGTCCCCAGCACTGGTGGCAGAGCTGCCCAGCCCGGGCACACAAGGTGTTTGCTGGGCAGTGCCGGCCCGGGGCAGCAGCCCTTGGCCATGCAGGGTGTCCCCAGCGCTGTGCTCAGGCAGGTCAGGCATGAGCCCTTGGCCACGGGACACTTGTGATCACACAGACACACGGCTCAGAGCATGGCAAGCCTGGAGCCATCCTGAGACTCTGAGGTGTTGCATCACTGCAAAGCCCATGGCCTTCTGCTGGAGATGGCCAAAATTCCAAATTGCTGAGCCCCAGACAGTCACCATAGCAGCAGCAGGTGTTTCTGCAGGATGTAACAAGGGGTATTTGCTTTAGACGGTCTTCTGAGTGTCCAGGAGAAGATCAGGAGGGACCAGCTCACCAGCCAGGCTGTGGGTGAGCTGTAGAATATGACTAGCAACTCTTTTGGGTGCTCCATAATTCAGGTAAGCTTGAACTTGAGTTAGCTCTTAAGCGTGATGCCTGCTCCCATGAGTAAAGATGGGATCTCACCCCAGCGCTCATGCTTGGAGGGATGGGCTCAGGGCAGCAAATGTCTGCTCTCAGAGCTGTGCTTGGCACAGCCCAGAAGCTCTTGGGTTGCTACCTTCATCTCAGCCCAGGTCTCTCTCTATTGAGCCACTGATACAGGCCAGACATAAGTCCAAGATGTTTCTCTGAGTGCACAGGTCTCCTTGGGATCAGATGCCATAAAAGACAGCACCCTGGTTTGTTTTAGGTAGCTTCCTCCTGCCACTGCACATCATGCACCTGCCGGTGGGAAGGGTAGGTGATTTGGAGAGCAGACTTAGCCATGAGGAATTTCAGGCTCAAGTCAAAAGTCTGTAGGACTGGTGAACAGAGGGATCACACTCACAACTTCCACTTGCTTCCCTGCAGCAGCCAGTACCCTGGAAACAGTGTTTCCTGCATCTCCAGCCCCAAACATTAGATATGTCCAAAGAAGAGTAAAGGGATTCCTACAGCAAGTGGCCACCCTTAGCAGGCTGTCTGGAGCCAGCCATGCGTGCTGGTGGCACCTGGAGAGCAGCCACGTTCCTCTTTTTAGAGAGACTACGGGGGCTGGCACATTGGCTTGCTACGCCATCTGTCTGGGACACCAGCTTGCGAAGCGGTCGGGGGGCTCAGGGCCTGATTCTGCACTGCTGCTGGTGCAGGTTCAGCCTGAGACTGTTGCTTTGCCAAGGAAAAGTGCTTATTCCTCTAAGGCCTCTTGCTGGGGACATGCAAGCATTGCCTAGCCTTGATCTGTGCAGATCTGTGCAGGTCTGAGATAAGAGGGTCACTTTGTTCCCGTCAAAAGCTCCTGATTCCTGGAAGGCAATGGGTCTGGTCTGAAATTGTTCACATGCCCGAGCATTAGTTTGTGGTGAAGGGAACTAGTAATGAGTGCAAGTATCTTTTATTTCCCTCCTGAGCTACAGAAATTTCTCTGGTCTGTCTATTTTCTGATGTCATTCAGGTGCTACAGTGGTGGGGGCAAAGGAACACTGTGAGAGATAGCCCCTGCTAGGCAGACAGAAGGGCTCTTTCCAGGACATTACACTTCAGTATGTCACCTTTGCTACTCTTGGAATTACTGACCGATTTTGTTCATCCGTGTCCGTCTGTGACAGCTTTTCCCTCCACTTGCTGGCTTTCCAGCTGCCAGCTATCCCAGCCGTGCATGAGTGTGAAGTCAACAGGGTGTTGTCTGCTGAATACCTCAATACCTTTGTGCTAGACAGAAAAAAATACAGATGCTCTCCAGCCTGCCCATCATCTGCCCTCTCCCGTGTCCATTCCTTTCATAGCAGGAGCTGTGTTTGTTGGTGCCGGTTGGCTTCCTCCGACACTTCTGCCAGGAGGGTAGAGATGTTACTGCAGGCATCACGACATGCCTTGGCGTCCTGCAACGGTGGGTAGCAGCTTTAAGGGAAGGAATGTGTTTGAAAACTACATAAGGACATTGCATGGGAGATAAATGTCGCTTTCCGACACATAAAATCCTCTGGAAATTTGCTTTTCAAAAGGTTTGGAGCAAAACAGGGTCAAATTGGACCAATAGGTTCAGCCTTCCCCTCTCCTGCAAGAAATGATATTTGGAACTCAACAGGGTATTTAATTTCAGTGTTTTAAATAAGTGGTATATTAGTTTAGAGGTGCTACAACAGTTCTTCTTTCTAACCAGAATTTTTAAATTCAAAGCTCTGCTAGTTTGTTTTAAACTCATCTGTGATCAAAAATGCAAATTGCATCAGAGTTCAATAAGCCAAAAGGGAAACAAAGCATTTGGTTCCAGGCTGAAATGAAATTGATGATGATCTAAATGAAAATGTATTTTTTTAAGCTATTCATTTTGTTGTTATAATTATTGCCATGGTCTTTCAATACAAAAAAAAAAAAAATCCCTTCACTGTTCAGTTCACATGCTGAAGCAAGTTTGCCTTTATTCTGGCTTTGGATGAGAATATGATGGTTCAGTGCAAGTGATGTGGCTATTCTGACTGCAGCTCTTTTGGGTCTGCTCCTAAAATCCTTGTCCCAGGGGAGCATTTGCAACAGGTCTCCCTTCCATCTTTCCCCTCCTGCTGCTACTACAGAAAGGAAACCCAGATGCACAGGCTGTGTGTGAGTCATGTCTTGCCCTGCCCTTGTCCCCAGGAGGAATGAAATGGGGACCAAGGTCCTGACGTGCACCGTGAGGTCAGTTTAAACTCAACTGATGGCAATTTCTCCAGACGGCCTGTGTGGAGGAGGTACTGGAGGAAAGTAAAGAGCTGAGGAGCACAGCAAAGTAGGCAACCCCATAGAAAGGTGCAGATTTCCTG